TAAACCGTTCCTTAAAAGTAAAAAGGGCGTCTGCCTCATGGGCTAAAACTGTTAGTTGGTTCCATAGGAGAGGAGCCTGATAACTAAAAGATCTGCTGTTTATATATTTGGAAAACTTTACAGAAGACCCCTGGATTCAACAGAGGAATATAAAACTATACTTTATATTTTAAAAATGTATCTATTTTTAATGTGTGTTGTTATTTGTGTTCACATTTATAACTTTAAATTAGTTCTTATATTTGTATTTATTGAAGAAATTTTCAATATAGTTATAGTGTATAATGACTAGGTTAGGATCGTTCTGAACTATTTGTTCACACCAATTGAAATTCCAGGGTTGTGGCATTTACAAAAATGAGACTATAAATCAAGCAGATCTGTTAGGGTAATTAATGAACATAATAGCGAGATGGTTATTGGCCTGTACCTTTTCAAGTCAGGGTACTCCAACGTGCTTTCAGTCATTCCTCCCTTAATGTGCTGATGGTTGCAAGCTAGATGTAGCCACAGCTTCTTTGGGGAACACTGACAGAAGCGAAGTTGCTGCACACAGGAGCCACTGGGCACTCTGACCACCATCAGTAGACAATATCGGTGAAGTCTCTCGATTAAGTCTTGGTGAAGTTGAAGATTTTTTTTTCAGGGTGAGTGATAAGCTACACTTTCTTTCCCTTGTTTTGTTTTCTGTGAGGCTGAAAGAAGATCAATATTTTATTCCATCCTTCCTCTGTCCTGAACTCATTATTGGTAAAGTATTGTTTTTTTTTTTTTGTTATGTTTTATTGACTGTTTATGTCCCAGTCTGCCCTGCCTGTTTTAAATGCACTGTGCAATTCCAAACCTACCTGTTTTCTCTTGCAATCGTCAAGTTTATGCTGTATTTTCCCCCAAAGCGGATGTATTTTACTTTATAACTTCCTTTGAGAACCATGAAATTGCCGCTGAATTGCTAAGTAATTCAACTTAAATACCCTTGGGTCTATCTCAGATGGAGCTAGGCAAGCCCCCTTGCAAAAAATTATGTTAGGTGTGTTCATCTCCATTGACTTTCAAGAGCGATAAACGCCACAATGTCGTTTGACAAAATTTTCTATCGTACTTCACTCAAAGTCGGATTCAGCACGTTCAGGGCTTTTGGGGTGTCCTACCATCACTCTGAAGTGAAAACAGTAACTGTAAACAGGAATTATTATAATATTCATTAAAACTTAGATAAAACTGACTACTTTTACAGAGTTTGAGGGGCTTTAGTTCAGAAGTGCCACATCAGATTCAATTCAGTTTATTTATATAGAGTCAATTCACAACACATGTCATCTCAAGACACTTTACAAAGTCAATTCAAAAAGATCATACAGTCAAATTGATTCAAGTTTTCTATCTAAGGAAAACCAGTTGATTGCATCTACTTACTGACTCGAAGGCAATCCCTCACACTAAGCATGCTTGTAGTGACAGTGGAGAGGAAAAACTCAATTTTAACAAGAAGAAACCTCCAGCAGAACCAAGCTCAGTGTGAGGGGCCATCTGCTGAGGCCGACCGGGGTTCAAGGAGACAGAGGCATACATAGAAAAAGAGGATCTTGATAACCTTCGTTGAAAAGTATCTGGGCATATTCTTCTATCAGAAAAAAGAAAATAAAAGATATTAATTAGACTGTTAAAAAAAAAACTGATTAGATAAATGTACATCATAACAAGTAACCAGAAAGGACAACAAAACATTCAACTATTAAAAAATAGAGACTAAGGTAACACCAGCCAAAAATTATCAAAACTAAAATGTATGTAAATGACCGAAACTACCCAGATCTGTGGTTATACCCTATATATGCCTTCTCATGTCTTCTCTATGATGCCAGAACTTAGTTCCTATCAGTTACCAATGCTGTTTTTATGTTCAGGTTCACCATTCAGTTGTTTGCATGTATTTGAAGAGCTATAGGGAGCCTATTCTATGAGAGATTCTAACTGTTGCACCGTTGCAAATATTGAACAAATAACATATGATTTAAGTCAGAAAAACTCAACATTTCATTTTTTACACATTCCATAACTTGTAAATTTATTATTTTAAATAAAAACATCTAAAAATGTTAGTACATAAAAAAACTAACAATGCAGATAATACCCATGAATGTCCAGCAGGGGGCAGTGTATCAGTTCCTCTTCATTAAATCAATTGTGTGTGATTTGCGGCTGCGCACGAAGTAATTTTACTCTCAAACCCGGATGAAACCAACGCCTAACTTGTCGGTAGAAAACGGTAAGCTGAAGAAAATAATAAGATTAAAATGAATTAAGCTATTTATTGGTTAGTACAGTCCGGGATTTGAAATAAAGAGCTAGCAGAAGGACAAAGTATTTGCACAGATAAAGCGTGTGAATATGTTTTTATCAGTAATTGAGTTTGTAAAACTACGCTGTGGTTTAGCCCTACATTGTGTTCATATACATTATATTTATACTTTTGTCACTTTGGATGAGTTATTACCTCTGTGTTGTGTTTTTTTTTTTTATTATACAATGTTCTACTTTTGCGGTTAAGTCAAAAGTAAGATAGTTATAAAGTTGTATTTTTATTTATTCTGTTTTTTAATCACTGTAACCATGGCTTCTGATGGTTATTAACTTCATCTTTTAATTTTTATGTGTTATTGATAATATGATATGTTTAGGCTTCGGTTTATAGCAAGTTTCACATCTTGGAGCTGTGCTCATTTAGCGGAAGTGATTGCAGTATCCGCTTCTAAATGACGCTGAGCTAATAAGCAGTGTTTCTGCTGTCTCCCCCTGCTTTTCAGCATCTTTGGTATGTAACATATGCGGAAGCCGCAGTCTGACATTAAGTGGTATTTGTTGCCACATGCATTAACAAGCCGAGTCAGGCTGATAAGGCTTTTTTTTTCTTCCCTGCCTCTGATGGAGGAAGTATATCTTTCTACTTGAGACAAAACTGATCAAGAAAACAGCTGATTAAAAGACGCGTGAATACTTCTGGAGTCAAAAGCGTTACAAGAAAATGTATTAGGAGTATTACGGTAGAGATGGGTACACTGAAGATGAAGGAAAAAGAAAACCCATCTACCTTTTTTATAGTTTCATGTTTCTGTAGGATTATATTATAGGATTGAGACACTACATTTGAAAAAAAATATATATTTCATTTTATTTATTTTTTACAGTGTGCTCTGTTAATCAGAGGCGTAGCCAGAAATTTTTATAAGGGTGGCTGGGCAATAACTAATGTACACTGAGGGGTGGCTGAAAGCGGATAGGCTCCAGGATCTCATGGTTAATCTACAATTTTCTAACAGGAAAATTAAGGAGCAAAACATCCATATTTTCTAAATTAAGACAAAGTATATTTTCCTGCAGCCTTTTCTAACAATTCGATGCATATATTTGAACATCCTTCATTTCTAGATAAAAGGTATAGTGCATAAAACTTTCAGTTTTGAATTCTGGGGCGTAAATCTTTTCCATTGTTATTACTTACCTACTTGTACCAATAAACATTCAGCATAAAATTGATATTTACAAGCATTAATTTCTGCAAAAATTGATTATTTGATAAGTATAGTTTATTAAAATTGTTATTTGTCTTTGATTTCACTGAAGACTCCCAGATGACTTGCAGAGACACATAATTTTCTCTTTACTCCAAATAACACAATATCTATTCCTGAAAAGAGCATGAATTCTGTACTTATCATCTCTGATGTTAGTATATTGATGTGTATAATTAACCACAAAAAAATAATCTTTCGAATATTCCACTTGAGAGTATTACTGCTGCCACCATCTGTATTAGAGGTGAAAAATTGGTAGGGGTGGCCACGGGATGGCTAGTGATTGGCTAAGGGTGGCCCCCATCTAGTTCCACCCCTGCTGTTAATGCTTAGACATACGCTGACTGGCCTCTTTATTAGGTAGAAATGTTGTCTACATGAACAGAAACTCAATCCATTCAGTCAGTTATAGATGGAAAAGAGGACTTCCTGAAATTTTAAAGTTGTTGAAGCCAGACAGGCTGGACTGAGCCTTTCAACTGCTGAACGGTAAATGGAAAACATTTAATTTCTAGAGAAAAAGTTTGGGGATCATAAAAAAATGCTATCCTCCCTTCTGTACCAGCTGAGCATTGAATATACTCTGCAGCCTACCTTATTTTTGTTTCAGACCTTGTTTACCCCCTTATGACCATAGTATATTCTTTTGATGGATCATCCAGCCAGCTCAGGCTTTAGATGGATTTTACAGTGATCCAATGGCATGAATAATCGGCAGATCTCAGTCTGATGAATCATGTTTGGGATGTGGTGAAAGGGAGGATTAACATATTGAGTTTTTTAACACCTTTTTAAAGCTTTAAGACCTGGACTGGTCCAATCCCATTCTTTGACTACGCACCTAATAATGTATATTTAACAAAGTTCCTGTTCTTAAAAATGTGCGATAGCCATTTGAAATATTTAGTTGTATTAACTAAAACTACAACAACATTTGTCAATAGCATTTTACAGTTTAATAGTAATATCTACTATCAAAAATTACCAAAGTAAAGGCCACTAGAGCCTTTACATGATCTCAAGGCATGGCTGCTAAATGTGATAATGGACCGGCTAATGCATGTATTTCAGTTAATACAAGAAAAAAATGCAAAATTTCTTCAAAAATATTGGGTAGCTGATGTGTAAAAATGTAATATTTTTCGTAAAATCAAGACACACTAGTTAACCTAAATACAGCTGCATTAAATGAGAAAAAAAAACATATGTTGCCCATGTCAACATTTTGTTTTGATGACATTGATTGTTATTAATCTGCATGTCCTTCACTATTATTTCTGTACTCAGAAAGATGCCGCCACTCTTCTTCTTGAGTTTAGTGTCATGATTATGAAAGTCTTAAGTGGTGTAAACCAATCTAACTGGCCAAATCTGGTTTTAGCAAGCAGAATATAAATGCACCTTCCGTATTGCATCCATTCCATTTACACATCAATTTCATTTAATTTGCACCTCAGAATTGTGCAAATTATGAGAATAGTTGCACCATTCTGATGTTTTTTACAGGTTATTGTATTTGATCTTTTAAGTATGTAGATTAGAAATTATAAATGGTTAAATTTTAGTGAAATATGCTAAAAAAAAAAAAAATAGCATGGGTACAGAACTGAGCAGATGTCTGTAAACTTTCTTACTTATTTTGCAAATATGCTCCCAAACAGTTTTAATATAAACAATTTGTATGTAATATCAAAATATGGATTTGTCCTGATAATATTTCAAATCTGGGGTAAAATGGTTAAAAAAAGAGATGAGTGTGAAAAAAGTTTGTTTCCACTTTTTATTTCCTTAAAGATTGGGAGCGTATTGATTGATTGTATCCAGGTGAGGTGTAAGGCTCCACCATATCAGGAAAAAATGTAATGCAATAGTGATATATGGCACTCACTAACATTACAGTTCACTTTGTTCCACAGCTCTGATTATTTGTTTTATCCTTTAAAATGCATCATCACAGCCTTAAAAAGCTAACTGCACTTACAGTTGACCTGCAGAAGTAGGAAAATCCTGAGTTTTTTTTATTGTAATTCTGATACCCTTCTGAAATAACTCAAAATTGGTTCTATGACTTTTAAATTTCTGCACAATCACAGGAAATCATGCAGTGTGCAACAAATGATTATTAGGGATAACAAAATGAAAACTCATCAAATAGCAAGCATATATAAGGAAAATACTATCTAGTTGTTGTCATCTTAGTGACAAGGATTTTTTGCAACAATAATGTAGTTTAAGATTTTTAATGATAAAAAGAAAATTTCCAACTTTTGGCTTTCTGATACTAAATCATTAAACAGGCATAAATTAATCCTACTTAAATAAAGATATAACTTTAATCACACTTTAAGTAGTTCTCCGTGATTTGTATTTTGTACAACCTGTTAATGCAGTAAGAATATATTTCTGACATATTGTTTATGTCTACTTAAGGAAATATTACCACTATTTTTTCTTGTTCTGCGAGATTAATTTGAACATTACTGTTGGAAAACAGATTTTAAAACTCCCATATATTAAGGATAGAGTGTAGGGAGAAATATTTATGTATCAAAAACTTTGCAGGCTCATTTATAACATTGATTAGTCTTTAATCTATTCACATTCAATACTGCGATTTTTAATATTTTTTTTTACAATATATCCAATTTCACAGTTAACAAAGACATTAGTGAGCTTTTTATATTTGTAAATGTATTCACGCTCTAAAATATATTAATAAAACATCCATTCAAAAAGAAATATGCAGGAACTAGTCACTCTATACTGCTTAACTAATCCATTTGGAATAGCAGTAATTATTTAGATACTGGTGAAGTAAAGAGACAAGTGTTAAAAAAACTAACACTTTAATATGAAACTAGCAGCTAAGAGTAAAATGTCAAAGGAAATAAGCGTTCAAAGTGCAGTGACACTGCCTGGGAGCCATGATATCAAAACCAATAGTTTTTTACTTATAATTCTGAGTTTTTACCTTTGCTTATTTTGGGAGGAAAACGTTTGTTGGAGCGAAAAGGAAGTCCCTTTGGCCTGTCAGTTTGCACAGTGAAGTGGCTTAAACAGGCGAGGAGAACGTATTCCTGTGGGTCAGACAGTCTTTCATTTTTTGAGGTTTGTGACCCCTGGTTCCAATAAATCCTCATATCTACGTCTGTCAGGCTAAGGAAACAGTTTTTGATCCTAACACTTCTGGTTCATAAACGACTCAAATTAAGGAAAATCATCTGTTCTCCATAATCCATTTTGTCAAAATGTTTAAAAGTAGTTATTTTCCTGAGGGGTCATGTCTCTACTGCTTGGGGAGAAAAACATGTGAGGAAGAACATGTTAAATTGTTAAAGTGAAATTTGAAAGCTTGTATCTGTAATTATTCACACTCACAGATGGTGGCGTCACAAGTGTACTCTGTTACCATTAGCTGATTAGATAGTAAATTTGCCTTCTGTGTATTTTAAATGTAGATGTAGATATCCGTTAAACATAGATTCCCAAGTTATGTTTCTTATAGGTGATTTATAGATCTCAGAGCTGAACAGCACTACAAATAATTAGTACCAATAATTATAAAATTATACTAAGTGGATTTACGGAGGAAGACTTGTTTTTTAAAGGTTAAGAACCACTTATTGAAATAAACCCAATGAAGAAACCCACAAATTACCCAGTTAATTTTAGAGGATCTGTCTGTAGTTGTTAATGTGCCCCCTGGTGTATTGAGGGTGTATGACCACATGAAGGCTATTATTAGCCTTATTAAAAAACAGAGCTAATTGTGCTGTCTTTGTTAGATTTTTCTTTCTTTTTTTTGTTTGCTGATGCTTTTCTGTGTTTCATTACAGATGCAGACTATAAAATGTGTAGTTGTTGGAGACGGTGCAGTTGGAAAAACCTGCTTACTTATCTCCTACACAACGAACAAGTTTCCCTCAGAATATGTGCCCACAGTAAGACGTTTTAACAATGACTCATCGTCTAAACTCACAGATTTAGAACCACTATTTCTGTATATTTCTTCCTAGCTTATACTCATTAACTCTGTGCACGGCAATGTATTTACTCAACCCAATCCCCTTTTTATTCTTTAAGGTTTTTGACAATTATGCAGTCACAGTGATGATCGGAGGAGAGCCCTACACACTGGGCCTCTTTGACACAGCAGGTAATCATCTTAGGAAAGTTCTCATTCTGCAGAACTCCGCTGACTCAAACTAAAAGGACGTTTTGCTTGTTGCGTTTGATTCTCTCAGGTCAGGAGGATTACGACAGGCTGCGTCCTCTCAGCTACCCACAAACAGATGTTTTCCTCGTATGTTTCTCTGTCGTCTCCCCGTCATCTTTTGAAAACGTCAAAGAGAAGGTTGGTGTTTGTTTTTTTTTTATAGTTATCTGAAAAGCTTTCAGTTAAACTCATTATACAACTAAGAAAACAGAAAGACATAATAGTAGATATTAAGAGTAAGAAAAAGCTTTAATCCTTTGAGAAATATTTGCTAATTATTGATGTGACGTGTTGTAAAAAAAAAACACTAACTGGTGTTGCGGTCATGTTTAATTACAAAAAAACTGACCCGAACAGCTCCTAAAATGTGTAGCCTGCATGGTTTTAGTTACTGCATGGCATCAGAGGGTTACTTTATGTATTTTCTTTCTTCAAACTAGATTTTTTTAATAGATGCTTCTTTTGACTCTCAAACTGTGCAGAAAGATCTCTGTTATCGTGCTGTTGAAATAAATTGATCTATATTTTTGTATCTAATGAACCTGTTTCAAATATGTGTTTCCTGGAAGCATTAAGAACCCTTCAGTTGGTCCATAAATTCTCAGAGATGCAAAAAAACAACGTTTACCCGCTAAACCACAGGACTAATTCTGAAACGGCCTGTGTTAGAATTGTTTAACTGATGGATGTAACGGAAATTTACATTTTCTCTTTGTTTTCTATCCTTGTTCACAAGTTAACAAGCCATCATTACAGGACACCAGTCGGTAGGGGGTGTCTCTTTAATCACTGTACATTTATAATACTTTACACACCCCTGTTAGCATCCCAGGCTTTTGTGAAAAAGAAAATAAGACCAAGACCATTTCAGATTTTTTTTAACCCTTATTATGACCTGTAATATTCATTACCTAATTGAAAAACCAAGCCTGATCTTTTTTTGCTGTCAAAAAATAAATTAAAGTGGTTGCATAAGTGTGCACATCCTCAAGGTAATGTAATGCAATACAGTGAAAAACAGACATTAGCATTAAGTTACAATCTGGAGTATTTTTAAAAGCTGTATATGTGTTCATGAGTATATACTATCTTTAATGATTAAATCTAAAACATTCTTTTATAGTATCTGTCTTCCAGCAGATTATGGCTTTACTTTACAATATTTAGCTTCGCTTTTTTTGCAAAAGTTCTTCCAAATCTACCAGATGCATATTGCAGATGTGAAGGCATTTCTTGTGTCTGGCTTGTTTATTCCAAAACCGGAAAACAGGAAAGAAGTTGTGAAGATCCAAAAGCTTTTATCTTTCTCTCAATTAAATCTTTTTTTTGTTACTCAAAAGGGTTTCTTTTGCTCAACAGTATATTTAAGATGGAGCTACATCATGTCTTCAGTCAGAGTTGCCATCACTATTTCGATATGTGCATAACTGCGACTGCTTGATTGTACTATTTGGTAGGGTTTAACATTTCAAGTGTCAACTATTGATAGTGGGCTCTAAGTGGATCAAATCGCCACATTTGCTGCATATCTTTAGTGAGTGAAAAGCTAAAGCTAGCAGACAACAGGGCCTCTGCGTACTGATAAATAGGAGCTGTTGGACATTTTTTTGACATCCTACAGCCTTGATTTAAGCATGCAGTTCAGTCTGTGTTTTACCCTATTATTGCTTATTTTAATGTACGTGTGTGTGGGTTCCCCCTTGCCTGTCACTTTGCAGGCGATTCACTTATTATTTCTTACTTATTATTTCCCTAACGTTAATACTTAAAAAAAAAAGAACTAATAATTACAGATTATTCCTAATACTTGTGCAGAGTTTTGTATTTTAATAATCCACAAAAAAAACATATATATATATATATATATATATATATATATATATATATATATATATATATATATATATATATATATATATATATATATAAAGAAATCCAATCTCGATGTCTTTGTTTCTTTTTGTTCTCAGTGGGTTCCTGAGATTTCTCACCACTGTCCAAGTACACCTTTCCTGTTAGTGGGCACACAAGTAGACCTCAGGGATGACAGCAACACTGTTGAGAAGCTGGCTAAGAACAAACAGCGCCCCCTGAGCACCGAGAGCGGGGAGAAGCTGGCACGAGAGCTCAGGGCCGTCAAATACGTGGAGTGCTCTGCGCTCACACAGGTACTGCAGAAAAATGTTCACCATGTTATTAATATTTCAGCCACATCTTTGTTCATTTAATCTGATTTCCTCTTTCTGGTGAAAACAGCGAGGACTGAAGAACGTGTTTGATGAAGCCATACTCGCAGCTCTGGAACCTCCTGAGATCAAAACTAAGAGGAAATGTGTTCTCCTATAAGAGAATACCAACAATGAGAGATACTTGTGATGTACGAAATCACAGGGAATATTCAAGAGCAACGTTGATGGTTATTTGGGAGAAAGAAAATAAGGACAAACCAAACGGGGTGGGAAGAATAGATTTCCTTTCTACCGCTCGCTCTCTGATTGTATCTCCTGAGTTAACCTTAAACGTGGCCTCCAACATGCAATATTTGTCCTTCACTGAAAGCTTTTAGAAACTACTGTATTCTGTCTATTCAGGTGTCCCCTCTCCTTTTCCCTTGATGCTTACTGTAATTATTCCATGCTGTGTTCTATTTGTTTAAGGAAATATTCGTTTTTGAAGAGCCCTTTGTTCTCATTGTGTTTTAAGTAGGGAAAAAGAAAAAGAACAGAATGGTAAGACGTTTAAAGGGAGAACTGAAATATTCAGTGGTACTTTTTTGTTTTTTATCTACCTTTATTGGTTTAACTGATAAAAACCAAAATAATTTACCATCTATTCAAACATCTCTGTGTACTTTCTTCAAAGCTAAATGCATTTTCAACTGGATTTACTTATTTTTTTGTTTTTTTTTTCAATATCCATTGAATGAGCTGTTCCATGAAATCTTTTAGCCTTTTTGATTGTAAACTTGAATTTATTTTTTCCTAATTGATTTTTTTTCAATTGCTAGATGACCAATGATGATTGATTTGAGTAAAAAACAAGAATTGAGATGTAATATTTTTGATAAAATTTAAACTTGATATAAGAGGATGAAGTTTTTTTAGAAATGTTCTGGGTGTAATTAATCAGAGGATATTTTTAATAAAATCCTTTTTTATCAAAAGTTAAAAAAATGAGCTGTGTGTGGGTTGTGGAATTATTGTTTAAATACAGTATAGAGCCCAGAGCTAAGTTGTCTCATGGTTGGTTTTTAGGCACGAATGTCATGATTTATATTGGGATTTTATCAGTAGACCAAAACAAAAATGGCACATTGTTTTGAAGGAGAATTTAGAAAATTTGAAATGTGTGGCACATGATTGCCTCCGCCCTTATCTGAGTCAGCAATATATAAAGACGCCTGGTGTATTCATAGCTTCAGGTCTTTTAGGGTATGCCCCCAGCAGCCTTGCACATCTAGACAAATTTTTTGATCATTCTGTACAGAATATCTTAAGCTCTATTGGTTTTTGAGGATGTCAATTCTGGAGACCAGTGTTTTAAGTCCTACCAGGGGTTCTTCATTTGATTTTAGATATGAAATTCAACCATGCAAACTCTAGCACATGAATGTTCTCTATACCATTCTATTGTAGCTCTGAATGAATGTTAAGGGTAGCTGCCCTAAAGCAGGGGTCTCCAATCCTCGTCCTCAAGATCTAATGTCTTGCAGATTTGAAGTGTATCTTTTCTTCACCACATCTAATTCATATACCTCTTCAGAATGAAGTTGAAGTTTGGCAAAGGCCTGGATGGTAGATCTCGAGGACCAGGGTTGGAGACGCCTGACGTTAAATGTTCTGAGCCTCTGGTAGGTTATCTTTCAGCATCATCCTGCCATGTTCGGTGCCATTAAAACAGGTTTATCTAAAGTAGCAGACAGGTGGATCAAAGTCAAGTCAAAGTCAAAAGTCAAAGTCAGGATGTGCTGTCTAAATGTATAAATTACAGATAAATACATTGTAGATAATCATCAAGGGAAAAAATAGAGATTCAAATAGTTATGAATATAACATTTCTTTTGAAAACCTCCTGTCCCCTTATACATGCATCCTTCCTTTGATGGTGCTGTAATCTTTGGTTAACATGACGGTTTTTATTTTTGGATCGGTTCTTAGGTCATAGTCAGTGCAGCGTGAATGACCGTTGTATTGCTGATGGTAAAGCCGCAATATTGCAAATAACTTGTCTTAAGAAAACATGTTACATTAAAATTTTAATTATAGGAGGTTTACAAATGTGAGCTAAATAGCTGCTTATCTTTGGATGAATTCCAACCATATATTGCAAGTTTTAATACCATAGGTGAAGTTAAAGAGTGTTTTGAGGCGAGGAAAGGGTCAAACTTAGCTGTGCTGTTTTAGATGTCAGTTGTGTTTCAACTTTGCTTGAAAATAGTGTGGTTCTTATTTTAAAACTGGAGAAGTGATCCGAAGAAGGGGGTAAAAAAAGACCAAATACATTCACTATAGCTTAATGTCACAACCACAGAAACAATCAAACAGAAATAGCAAACACGTTTGTGTTTCAGGTAAACTACTGTATTTGTTAGATGTCTTGGACAGATCTGATATGCAGGAGTTTACAGGAGGAATTTACATGATGATGATGTGTAAAACAATACAGATACCAAGATAAGTAAAAGCTCTTCCTGCTGCTTGAGGATGAATGACGGAAAGACCGATACACAGTTGTGTTCAAAATAATCCCAGGGTCTCTGGAAAAGCGAGTAAAACTTGGATTGATTTCACGGCAGCTTTTATTTCATTTAGTGCAAATCTATTGGAGGAAACTCTCCATTTCACTCAGAACAATGTTAGGAGAAATTTATCCAAATAGTTTTCTGTCAACAGAACCGAGGATAGTGGGGGAAAAAGGAATATGAGGCCTTTCTAAAACAGCAGTTTTTTGAAATTTAGAAATAAAATCATGATAACCACAAGTTTGGGGTTTGAGGTTCTCTAACTGACATATATTTAATAAAGACACCATAGTCACCTTATTAAATCCATGTAGAACCTTGGAGTTCTGGTCATCTAGCTTTTTTTTGTGTCACCCTAGATCCCTACACCCATCCACCCCCTTCCTTTTTTAGGACTTGTTCACTCTGATTTCCTTCTATGCTTTGTTATTTTTTAAAGCTAGAAAGGCTGGAAGACTTAGATTTCCTGTGAATCGCTTGGCTAATGCTTGGATGTAAAAAGAAAATGATACTGAGTACTGCTACAAATCCACCAGCTTCCAACAAGAGCAGGTATTCTAGCCTAGAATGATTGGACCTCATAAAACTGCAGCCTTTAGACCTTTAAAAAAAAGTTTTCATCCATTTATAAATTGATGTATCATTTATTGTGGTACACCCTAATTTCTTCATCCCATTTTCTTTTTTTTTAACAATTAGACTTTTTTTTAGGCTTCCATACAATATATAAGAGATAATACTCTTACTAATACCAGAAAGTGTCCATTACTAAAAATTAATCGCTACATGGAGGCGTGAACTATCCTCAGTTTAGCATTGGATGGTTGCCTCCATGAGGTCAGTTAATTTCTAATAAAGGACACCTCAAATAGCATTATCATACTTATACTAGTGTCATTTACAAAAGAAATAAATATTAAAATATTTAGTCTTACTTTAATGTTTTATCTACCATTAAAATCATACGTTTTTCTCAAGATGCTGCGAATGGGGCTTGTGGCGTGTTGCCAAGGTAACGGTTCTGGCCATTACTTTGAACACAACTGCTAAAAAAAATAAATAAAACAGCAAACATAAATACAGAACACATTCAAAGATTTGCTAAGACATGTAAGCGTGACATGCTGTAGTGTTTCTGTTAGTTTCAGTTAATTTCAGCTTCAAAAGCTTTGTCAGGTGAACGTTTAAGTTGTTGCTGTATGTGCATGCACATCTGTGATTTTCTCCTTAACAGTTTTAATTGGAGAATTGTTTTGAAGAAAGATTCAATAATTCTCTTATTTTGTTTTTCTTTTTTTTTTACTGTTGGTTGCTAAAGCTTTCCAATCAGAGGAAGCTAACCAGAAAGTGGATTATTGAAACAAAAAATGTATTTGGGAGGCATTTAATGTCATTTGGAGTGAAAGCTGTTGTATTCTGCTTTGATTTCTACAGTGTCTCTCTGCAGACTTCTTTGAAGTTTTCCATTGCACTCTGTCCAGTCTTGTTTAAGCCATTTCAAACTCTGCAGGTGTGAATGGTCACCGTGTTCTTGCACTGCTGGCAACGGACTGAGCAGCACCAAGAAAACTTGCAGGAGCAGCGCTGCACTACCTCAGCCCGGCCCGCTCTGTACCCAGGGCCGCAGCACACCAGCTCACAACCATCCGGTGCCAACCGGGACGTCCCTGAGGAGGGTTTAAAGTAATGGCAATGTCAGTTTGTAATCATATGTTCGAAAATTCTACAATTTTAACAGTTTTTCTTTTGGGTTTACCGTTACATCTCCTTCCAGCAGTACCAGGGATGCCGTTATCTGGGTCAAGGTGGCAGAAATCTGGAGAGGGTGCTAGATAGACAAGATCTCTGGCAGCGGGGGGTTTGACATAGGGGTCACGGGGGAGCAAAGCTGTCCTGGACCCAATACGTGTTAATCTGACCTAGAAAGATAAAGTTTTAGTGTAATCTTCCTGATATATAGTTAATAAATGAGCTGAAAGCATGTTTTGATACCTCTGTGGCTCCATCAAAGCGTTCCTTGAGCACAGCACCAACACGTCGGAATGGGGGCATGACCTTCCAACAGGTTTTTAACTCACAGGAGCCAGAGACACCATGACATTTACACTCTACTTGCATGTTGTGAAGAATAGCCTATGGATGGCATATAGGAAAAGATAAGTTTAACCTAAAGGTCCAATCAGTTACAAAAAACCAAGTAAAATGAAGGTTACCAGTACAAACCTTTCGACCAGCCTCGTTGTTGTGAAGGTTCATGAGTGGGCGCCCTGCTGACAGCCCTTTGGCACGCTCAGGTTCATCCACAAAGGTTTGAGAGAAAGCCACACCATAGGACAGGTTGTCACTGCACCCTGACCACTGGAAGCCTGGAAGGTAAAAGATCCTAAATTATAAGCTTGGCAGCCTTAAAAGTTTCATTTTAAGTTTTAGAAACAAATCATGATAAATTAGAAAACCAATCTTTTTGAAAGATGCAGCAAACCCTATTACAGGTCAGGTGTATTCTGCATTGTGAAATACTCACATCCCTTTATGTTCTTTATGTCAGTGAATGGATGTATACTTTTATGTGACTTGCACTTAGACTACATTTAAAGAAAATAATGCATAGTTATATGCAAATTTTAGATATTAAAGTCAAAAAATATGATGCACTGGATTTTGCAAAAAACATTTGATCAATATTGTGATTTATTTAGATTTTTTCTTTGCTTTAACCATAAAACATGTAAATGTTTCACTCCAAGATTTAAATGTTTTATGTCGGTAAACGTTTTCTTGTCCAGAGTCTGTTGTCGCAATAGCTAGCTGAAACTCTCTTTGTCCTTCTGTGAGGCGGCACACCCTCTTAAAGCATATTACTCAAAGACTTGAAGTTAGAAAGTCAGTATCTTTTTCTTATTAAATGTTATGTGACCAAAACTGAATACCTCTGATTTAAAAATTGTGTTTCGTTAAGCTGCAGTTATATTGCAAATGCAATTAATTGCCCAGTCCTACTTTTCTGTTGTAGCTCTGCAGTATGTTTAAGGTTGCCGAAAGGTGAACATCCTCTGAAATCTTTAGCACTCTGCAGCCACTAATAGTATTTCATAAAGGATTGTCCAACATTTCGCTCCATAGTCTACATCTTCACAACAACTCCTACCAGCTTCCTGAAGACAACCATACCCATAGAAGCATGATGCTGCCACCACCATGGTTTAAAATTTTTTTTTGACATTTCCTTCTTATTTTTATTTCCTATAAGGCCGGATTATTGTACACAAAACAATATAAAGTAACGACAACCTGCCCTGAAATGCACTATGTGACTCAAATTGGAGATTATTAGCAATGGAGATCAAGCTCACCTTCAGGGCTGACGCCTCTGACCTTCCTGTCGCAGCCACACCTCTCCAGCTCCCCACGGGTGCAGGCTCTTGTCACAGCCAATGCTACAGCTGCTGAAGATAGAGCATGCACAAAGGCCGCCTCACGAGTACCTGGATCCACAACAGTTGCACAAAAAAATAAATGTTTTAAACTTAGTAAGCCTGTGTTTCGGTATCATCTTTAGGGTATGCACCTTGGTTCATGACTCTTCCAAATACATTAATCCCACGTGGGGTGGTGGAGCAGTTCCATCGGCGATTCCTGAACTGATGTTGACACTGGGTGACAAAGTGTGTTTTCTGTCAGGTTCATCTGCTTTAAGCCGACTGATACATATTGTGAAGCCTATATACTCCCTTGTATTACCTCTTCTATAACCATTTCTGCTGCTTTGCGTACGGACTCCATAACCTCCCCTCGCGCCCTGCACACCCCCACCTGTCCCGGGGTCAGCCCCCTCAGCCGTGCACATGGAGCAGCACCAGACACGGCCCTGGAGCTAGGCAGCCTTGCCAGGGAGCTGTAATGCAAAGGTGGTGAATGTCACTTTGTAATTCAAGACTGAGTTGCAAACACGGGGAAGATGCATATTCAAAAAGAAGATGAGGGTTTAAATGAGTGTGATACACAAAATAGTGAGGAGGTAATCAGAGTGGACAAAGATGACTGCAGAGAGAGAGAAAAGAGGAAAGGTCACAAACAGAGAGAGACAAAGGAAAAAGAGGGAAGCTCCTGAAAGAGATTTAGAGACATGTCACCATCTTTTAAAAGTTATAGCATGACAAACAAACTCTTTCTTTTTCTTTCTCCCAGTGCACGCTAAACTTACAGCCAGTTGGTTGCCATGGTGGTGTGGGTGGTGCATAGCAGCAGCAGCAGGAGGAGTGGTGGAGTGAGAATGACAGGTGAGACAGTTGGCATCAGACTGTCTGTCTGTCAGTCTGTCTCTGTGCGTCAGGCTGGGTCCTTGGACAGAACTCTGTCCACCTCCACCGTGGAATTTCTCTGTCGTAGCTGTGTGCAAATTGGTTTGTGGAAGAAATGGTTTATGCTTTGGTCCCGAGTCAGAGGATGATCCCTGCATATCTGTTAATAAGGATAATAGATTTGGTTATTTTATTACTTAAGTCAACTAAATTAAGGGATTATTGATTATTATTTATGCATCTATTACTTTCGTGTTGCTAGGTAGCAAGCATGGTATGCTGCTACACTTCCATATTAGATAAATAAATAATATGAACACTCAGAGTAAAAATGCAGTGAAATTTTACTTTCTCGCATACTCTGCTGTTACAACACACATATATATATATATATATATATATATATATATATTTTTTTTTTGTTTTTGTTTTTTTTTTTAATCAGAGAAAATTTCTTTCTGAAGAAGGCAACAATATGAAAAGTTTAAGTGTGTTAAACGCTAAATTACTTATGTCAAAAAGAAACTGACTCCCATTTTCTCATATAAATAAACAACTAAAGCATGAAAACCCAGAAAAATTTGCTTACAAAGAATGTTATTTTAAAAAGGATATTGCCTAAAAAGAATGAATAAATAATCAGTATCAATGGATACCTTTAAATTAATTATAACTGAGGAATAATGTGATATATAGATATAAATGTAAGAATTCCTAAAAATATTCTAAATGATATACAATTTCTGCAACCTAAACTTTTACAGAAAGAGATCTAGTCAAAAAACAAAAACACGGATATAGATATAGAAAATAAATGTATAAATTAAAATAGTTACATTTTGGTAAAAATACTGTGAATAACACAGAACATAAATAGGATTTTATATAAACCTTTGTTAAGGAAGCTGGCATAATCAAAAATGAAGATAATGTTCATCCAAAGTTTATTTTGAGATTTCTAAAATGTGCTTACTTACAAGGTTTTTCCAGAAACGGCAAACTCATCCATTGAAAACACAAAATATGTCCATGTCCCAGATTAAGTTTTAAGATTTATTTTTTTTAATGCACCACCAATAAGGTAAAAAAAGACTTATGTCCACAGGTTTGTTGAAGAGTAAAGGCAGATGTTTCTTCTCAAATTGTTAAAACGATGAAAAATGCTTTTCATGTGGTTTGTTTCCTATGTTGTCCTCTGCAAATAAATGTGTCCATGGTTAGTTGAGACGGCAGTGATGTGTGAGAGCAAAGGAGATGGGAGTGATTGGTTATAAAGGAGAAAGACATTAAGGGTGGGAGAGGGAGGGCGGCGTGATCCGGGGTGTGGACTGATGCTGACGCACAGAGGAGGGGGCAAATTTTGAAAAGGATCATAATTATAAAAGTAAAGTAAAGATTTCTACTTGCATGTCATTAGACACTGAATTAGGCTCTAATTTTATAGTAAAATAACTAAATCCAACCAAAGCAGGATTACTTACCAAATCATGCATGAATTTGTTATCAGAGTTTCTGATCCACAGATATATTTACTGACCTGTTTGAGTTTTAATAATAGTTTCTCACAAAATCCACTGATCAGTATTTTGTTGATTTCATACAGTATATATCGCCATGTGAGAACATGTCTTACCTAATGTTTAATTTTCCCAAAGTTTGTTGCTCATTTTACGAGTCCCCCCCCTTCCTCTATGCCCCCCTCCACATTTGCCCCCTGGTTCCTCTTCTCTCCCACTCCCCATATTGTCTTAGAAGAAGGGGTGACATTTAGACAAGGGGAAGAAAACAGTGCCGACAAATATTGGAACTAAGGCAAATAAATCACAAGATAGTAAGGAGCGACAGCGTAAGGAGAGGGCAGATAGTCACAGTGGGAGTGGAGAAAGTGATAAAAATAAAGTGAGTTTGTCGCTAATATGTTTGAGCATAAAACATCTTGGTGGAATAATAATTTTCATTTGTCTCTTATCCTATAACACAACATGTTAGTAGCTTTTTATTTTTGCAAACATGTAAAGCTCAGTAGTCATTATAGCTGTGCTTGCTTAAAATTTATGCAGTCGTTTCCCTTCCGTCTGCCTCGGCCTGTTTGTACAGACTGGGGTGTTCATAAATAAGGAGGTAATAAAACAGATGCTTCTGATGACAGAATAATTCTCACAGGATGTTGTTTATATCGCTGGGATTTAGAAGTTTCTCTGCTTCTGTTTGAAAAAGAAAATCCAGTTTTATGGCATTTTATGACATTATAAGGCTTTTTAATACCTTTTTTTAACAATAGCTTTAAATTTTTATATTCTGTTTTTTTCTGTTGTGTTCAACAACAAATAGCCACAGAAATCAGTTGCAGAAATTCAGATTTATTATGTTTTTGCTTTATTTGTCAAATTCAAATATGTAGTTTAGGTAATAAGGTACACTGTAAAAAAATGAAATCTAAATCAGTATTTCTTTCTTAAAATCACCGTTTTATTTCTTGAATTGAGGATGTAAGTGAGACATTTTACCAATGAACAAGACAATTTACATTTTAAACAATAAAAAACAACTCGATTGTCTTATTTCAAGCGGATATTATATAATTATCTCTTATTCTTATTTTGGTGGTTAAAATACTCATTCCATTGACAAATCATCTTATTTACATACTTAAATTAAGGGGAAATACATTGAATTTGCTTTTGAAGTGTAACCTTAGAAAATAAAATGAATTTTTCAATTTCAAGATTTAACAGTTACAAAATTAAGATTGAAATTCAGAAATTAAATAAAGAAATTGGGAAATTAAGTATATCCAAGGAAGAACTGCAAGGCTAAAAATGCTGATGACCAGCAGAACACACCTTTTCAAACCTTTGTCTCATCAGACTTTTGTCTGAAGAAATGAAAATGAAAGCTTATGGAAGGTTATGTCCTGCTACATCTAAAAAAATAAATAAAAGGTCATCATGCTGATAGTGAAACATAGTGATTGTAGTGCAATGGTCTGGCTGCTCTAAATCTACAGGACTTTTATCTTGGTGTAATTAATGAAACTGTTACTTCTACTCCTAAGCAAAACACAACGTCCAACCATTAGTTTATAACATTAATCTCAACAGTACTTGTATAATGGTCAAAAGCTTTCCAGTGAGCCCACTTCTGAGAAGTGGAAAAAGGAAGGCTTCAGTGTGGCCTAGTCAAAGTTTGCACTTGAAGCTGATTGAAATGCTGACCCAAGCAGTATGATTGAATTAAAAAGACATATTTATCCATGGATGCACTGGGATGTTTTCAAACTCTGAGATTATAAGAGATTTGTATAAAAAGCCTCTTTCATTTTTTATGACAGAGCTGATGGGAGTATTCATTTCTTAACTTTTTTCTGAATACTTAATTTGAGGGCACAATTTTATGTGAAATTCAAAAACAAAAAAATAAGATAGGTTTATCCCACACAATAAAACTGTTTATTCAGGGTTTACCAGAAGAAATCGTCTCCCTCCACAGTTTTTCAGACACACTTTCCTCTGTCTATATCTGCTTAGAAGGGTCACTTCTCACCTCCTTTGCCTTCTTTTTTTGGTTCTCCTCATGGCGTACCCCTCCTTTTTGTCCCCTGTTTCTCGAAGTGACGTCCTCTGTTGTCTCCCACAGCAACACCATGGCGATGAGCTTAGCCACCGTCACGTCCACCGCCTCTGTTATGTTCATCCCTTCGCCCCTCTCTCGTAAATAACTTGCCCTCTTTTTTATCTTTATCTTTACCCCATTTCGCAGACGTTTTATCACGCTGACATGGTCTAGGAGTAATTTACTGTAGCCAGGACGCAGAGCCTAAAGAGATGCTTGTTAAAGCTTCAGCCATGACATATACACAGAGGTGACTTGTGTTTCCTTCTATTAAAGAAAGAAGACTTTGAGAATTTCCGCTGTATTGATGGGGAACATCTAAACAGATCCCCCTTCAAGGACTCATGCCTGCATGGAAGGGATGATTGACCTCATTCAGGATGGTTGCCTCAGGGTGTCTCTGTACTTCACAGGCATATTTCTACTTGAATATTATCATGAGGGGGAAATGTGACCTATCACCTTTAGCCTCTGCTCTCTCCTCATTACTTCCCTGCACTTGAGGCCCACCTGCCTTTGCAGTTTGTGTGCAGGTGCAATAATCATATCAGGCGTAGACATGATTGCTGTGCATGAGCAAACTCTCATTGCTCAGGCATCCCTGCCAACAAAGGGCTGAATGCACTGCTGTGTGTGAACGTGCGTGGTCTGTGCGCATGAATATTATGGGATGGCGGACGGTGGTGTTGTCAGGCAAGGAACGGGGGGTGGCAGAGAGGGAGGCTGTCTGTGCAAATGGGGGGGGTGCAGAGGGAATGGATGACCCATGAATGTTATGGAAATATGGCGGTGTGTTGGGGGGGGCGGTGGTTGGCTGTGGCCTGTGTGAGTCAGAAAGGCAGCAGTGCATACTGGATAGAGAGCAGATAGTGGGATGAGGTGTTAGTGACGGCGCCGCACGTGAACCAAGTGCACGCGCACACATGCATGTCTAAGGGGCATTCAAGCAACAGTAACAGACAATAGCCAGGCATAAGGCTTTGTTGCTATGCAAGCTGCATGAATGGTACCACAGGGAATACTAGTGGTCACTTGAGTAAAAAGTAAGGCCTCAGATTTTCACTTTTTCAGCAATTTTTTTAGCGTGGAAATAGGGCTTGTTACCTTCTGTGAACAAGAAAAGGGTATTTTTAAACACTTATTTGAGCATCTGCTATTAGTGACCATATTTTTGACATTTAGTGAATAAAGCCATGACTTAAACAAGTGTTAAATGCAAAAGGACAGATTGATTAGATGTCAGTTGCATCAGGAGTGAATTTGGAATTTCTGTTGCTTAAAATGAGACCTAAATCTTTGACTAATGTAAAACAATATATAAATTAAACTGCATTGAAGTAATATAAGATGTTTTGCATCATCTGTTGTTCTTATCTAAAAGTGAAATCCTTTTAACCCTAAAATATGTCAAACCCTGGCATTCATAGACTGGAGTCTCAGTTTTGAAGAAAAAAAAAAAAAAGTATCTACGGTATTATCAATATTTAATATGTGAAAAAAGAAAATCATACCTTTCTCAAATATTAGTGGCATCAAGTCATACCTTTCTTATGATTGCTGACCATGTATTCACTGGTATATTGAAAATCTATGCTGCATTTTTTTGAGGTTGGAAAGCCTTCCTACCCTCTAGCTGCAGCAGCTCTTAAACACATTACACACTTCCTGTCAGAAGGAAAATTGTCTAAAATAAAAACATTACTTTAAAACTCATTTTACACTAATGAGAATTATTTTGGCCCCATATATATAAATCTACATTTATTACAGATGCACAGGTTCATAAAATAAAACTCAACATAGCGACAGACAAAAGGGTTAGACTAAAATTAATGTAATTCAACTTTACATTAAAAAATGTGCAACTTTTATTGTTTTCCAGAAGCTTAAATGTGGCCCCGCTTATCACTTTGTGTTAATACAGCCAGAGCCCTATAGTTACATTTATTAATTAAGCAAACTGCACAGAAATGTGTACATAAAGATCCTTAGTAAGGCACTGAAGGTGGGAACTTTCCTGGAGACGAAATCTTTGACTTACCTTGGTCTATATAAAGATTGCATGTCCAGCAGCTTCTTTTTATTTTAATGCTGCAGGTGAAGTGTATGAAATGAAATATAATAATCTTTACAAAGAACTACTTTTAAATGATCTGTGTATATAGAAATGGGATATGGGAGCTAAAATATAAGCAAGCAAATACAATGTGGAACTTATTCTTGAGGCTTGTAAACAGAAAATAAATATACAATTCCCTAGATCACTTTATGAAGCATCTTTTATATTTGTTTACTTTTTGGTGCACAGATGTTTTTTTTTTTAATAATTGGAATATATATTGAAAACCCTAATTTATTTCATTAATTTAATACCATTCTATTAATTATTAAATAATTAAATAAATATAAAATGATCCCTTGGTAAAACACATGAGTATTATTTTGATTTTTTAAAAATGATTATTGATTCACACCTGAAATAAACTAGCTGAAAATGAGAAAGTTTCATTGAACCAATACAAAATGTGTTTTCTTTAGGTTTTGGCTTACAGAATAGGAGATGGA